GCCAACACAATTCCTTCTGCTCCTCCGGGACGGTCTGAAAGCCGAAGTGTGTCGTCCTTCCAGTGTTGCCGGCGAGGGGAAGCAGCCGACGTAGACGCAGCGGTCGAGGGGCCGGCGGCGGGGGCGGGCTCGCCGGGCGTCGTCGAGACGGCACGCGCACCCATGGGGACGGCGCGGGGAGCGACGCGGAGGCCAGAGGCGAGGCGGAGGTTGCGGCTCATGGTGGTTGGTGAGGGTGAGTTTCGAACAAATAATCGCAACCATCTCGGAAAAGATGGATCAACCCGTGTCCGAGATTCCCTTGCAGCAGAGAGGGGACTTTTCAGCCCGCAATTAGCCGTGGCCTAATGAACACCACGTGCCATTAGACTTTGCTTATCAAGGACATAGCTTTTGCTTGTCCGAACACGTGCAGACCCTGAACCTCCACTTCCCAGCAGCTGAATTTCTTAGGTCATAGAAGTCCGCCGCCGCTCGAGAAAGAAGTCTTCATACTACAACATTGTCCTAACGAACATAGCAAAATGGTATGTTTTGAGCTGATAGGACCGGGACTTAGCTGACACACAGGCACCAGGACGTACGAAAGTAACAAAATCGGGCCTCGGAAAGGCCCTCATCAACCGCAAGATCAAGGAGGCGGTGGCTCCGAAGGAGTCCCAGCTGGTGAGACACTGCGCTCGAGCGTCTCTGACGAACAGTACACCCTCGACGAGAGTAACCCGCTCGCTTCCGTCACGCACGAGCGTGACCTCGACGAGTTCCTGGCGAACGCTGCGCTCGCTGACGCCGACTTCACGACTGGTGAGCTAAGTTTATGCTTCCCGAGCTGACAAAGCAGAGCGATCAAAGATCCGCATCATTGCTGGACCGGGTGCCAAGCCGGAGGCCAACCCGTTCCTCCTGTCCGAGGCCGAGGAGAAGAAGGTGGCACGCAAGCAGTTCGACTTCCGAGATGGTCTCAAGATCCCCCGCCGACCGGCATGGACGACGGACATGACCCGCCTACAGCTCGAGAAGCAGGAGCGCGAGAGCTTCCTCGACTGGCGCCGCGAGCTCGCGCACCTCGCCGAGGACAGCAGTCTGCTGCTGACGCCGTTCGAGCGCAACATCCAGCTCTGGCGCCAGCTGTGGCGTGTCATCGAGCGCTCGCACCTCGTCGTCCAGATCGTCGACGCCCGAAACCCCCTTGGATTCCGCAGCGCGGACCTCGAGGACTACGTGAAGGAGGTTGGAAGCGAGGATGGCGACGAGGCAGTTCCCGGCAAGGGCAAGCGAAGGTCGCTCCTACTCATCAACAAGGCCGACCTGCTCACTTACGACCAGCGTCTCGCTTGGGCTGAGTACTTCGAGGCTGAGGGTATCGAGTACGCCTTCTTCTCTGCGGCCAACGCCGCTGCCGCCCTCGAGCAGCAGGAGAAGCAGAGGAAGCGCGCTCTCGGCATCTACGAGTCAGACGAGGAGGGCTCCGACGATGACGATGAGGAGGTCGCCGATAGCGACGAGGAAGAGGGCTCTGAGGAGGAGAGCGAGGAGGACGCTGAGGCTGAGGAGGAGGATGTTGAGGAGGAGGACGCTGAGGGGGAGGAGCCCGAGCAGCCGACTGCTCTCGACAAGGGCAAGCAGAAGGCGACGGTCGAGGACGTCGACGAGGCGGCCGAAGCTTTGGAGCAGGCTCAGCTGGAGGAGAAGCCGGAGGAGATCGAGGATATCCGCACCCGTGTTCTGACTATTGGCGAGCTCGAGGACCTGTTCATCTCTTCCGCCCCTCCTCTCTCCGACTTTGCCACCTCCCGCGACCCGAACCCGTCCAAGCTCATGATCGGTCTTGTCGGCTATCCCAACGTCGGAAAGTCGTCTACGATCAACGCTCTCATCGGTTCGAAGAAGGTGTCCGTCTCCGCTACGCCGGGTAAGACCAAGCACTTCCAGACGCTCGTTCTCTCTGACAAGATCACCCTGTGCGACTGCCCCGGTCTCGTCTTCCCCCAGTTCGCCAACACGCAGGCCGACATGATCTGCGACGGTGTCCTCCCCATCGACCAGATGCGCGAGTACTCTGCCCCCGTCGACCTTGTGTGCCGCCGTATCCCTCGCGAGATTCTCGAGGGTACGTACGGCATTCGCATCGACGTGAAGGAGATCGAGGACGGAGGTACGGGCAAGGTCGGCTGGGAGGACCTCCTCAGTGCCTACGCCATTGCGCGCGGTATGACGCGCTCCTCGTTCGGTATGCCCGACACGTCTCGTGCGGCTCGTTACGTGCTCAAGGACTACGTGAACGCCAAGCTGTTGTACGGCCGCGCGCCGCCCGGCATGGACGCGGACGCGTACATGAGCACCTCCCGCCAGCGCACGCTGCAGGAGATCGAGGACAGCTACGCTGCGGGCCGCAAGCGCGCGCCGGAGACGCACGTCTCGAAGAACTCGGACACGTACGTGGCCCCCGCCTCGTCGAAGGCGGCCATCACCTCGATGGAGCCGATCGAGGAGGGTCCGGCGCCGACACACAACCAGATCAGCAAGAACAGTGCCGTCGCCGCCGGCCGGAGTGGGCGCGTCAAGGCCGCCGCACTCGAGGACCACTTCTTCTCGGAGCCTGGCGCGCAGCCCCGTGTCGTCGTCAAGGGACGCTCGCAGGGCGCCGCCCCCGAGATGGACTTCTCCCGCCCCACGCTCTACCCGCACCAGCGCCGGCTGGGACCGGACGGCATGCCCATCCTCGAGACGGGGGTCAAGGTCCGCAACAACGGCAAGAAGCACTTCAAGGAGAAGCGCGGCAAGCAGCGCTCCGGACGCGGATACGACTAAGCTGTATGCTCGCCGTAGCCTAATGAACGGCCGTCTTGTCGGCCGCACAGTGTGCCCGCAGCCAGAACAAGCAGAGCAGCAGTTCAGCAGTAAAATGTGCCGGAGCATCTTCGCCGTTCCGCATTTGAAACTGCACATCAGCGAGCCCGTCATAGCTCTGAGTGGGCGGAAACCTCCCGAGTGACGGAGAGCGCAGCTGCGAAGCACGAATCACCGACAGCGGAGAAGCACCGTATTTGTGTTATTGATAGACAAGAGTGACCTTGAAAATGTATAATCTGCCGGGCTGCAGTAGTCGCCGGGTGTGGCGGTGTCCAGTGGCTGGGGATTGTGCTTGCGTCATGTCGGGTGGAGCATGCAGTATCGGACGTGACGAGGCACCGCCGCGGGCGGCGCGAGCCGAAGCGAGAGCAGGCGTACGTGCGTGAGCGACGATCATCAGAGGTCGGACGAGCCGAAGTCTGTCTGGTTGTCGTGTGACGAGTTTAACAAGAGATTAACAGAAACGTGCCGCGGGAGATCTCACTGTTGTTTCCTCTTGGCCGTCGACGGATGCCGGCGGCAGACGGCAACTGACGGCGACTTTTTACTCCACCCTTTCGAGACTCTCGACGTATCAACCGTTGGCCAAAACTTGCCGCTCAAGGGCTGCAGGGGGGCTCGGAAAGTTTACTGAAGCCATTTCGGCAGGTTTCCCCTGCGCAGTGTACAGCAGCCGACCCTCCGAGGGTCGCCAGCCCACTCACACGCAGCAGGAGGCTCGCTCCAATGGCCGAACCAGGTACGGCGTACCCCCTGTCCGCTGAATCGTTATCACCAGGTACCCACTAAGGACTAGACTCCTCTGCAGACGGGTTTTCCGTTTCTGAACGAATAATACAAAGGCACTCGTGCGAAATGAATCTTTAGGCACCAATATGGAGCCTGTGTAATGCGCAGATCATGTGCAGTGTGAGGTCGCTCGGGGCGGCCATCGCTACATGGCCGCAGAGAATATCGTAACTATGCCGGCTTTTCCGGGCCTGGTTGGGTGTACTAGACTTGCGCAGCTCCTCCCCTCGTGCGGGAGGTTTGCACCAGGTCAGCCCCAGACCAGGACCGACCAAGCCTCAGCAAGTTGTGAACCAAAGATGCCCCATGTCAGTGGCGCACCACGCCCCGCTTGCGGTGGACGCCCGTTATACCGGCCGCTCTCACCATAGAATGGCCCCGGCTAAACTGTTAAACTATGTTCAGACGAGATGCGAGCGAGCTACATTCTTGCTAGCTACACTGGAGACATTGTCGCGGTCAGACGGCCAGACAGCGGGCTGCGCCCACCGGGCCCGGTGCGTAACGCCGCTGCACTCGATGCGAGGGGAATGATATAAAGTGCGCCGTCGTTGTGAAGCAGAGAAGCACTCTTTCCATCGACAAGAACACAGCGCTTTCCTCGACCTCTCCACCCTCATCGCGACTTGCGAACGGACTCGAGCCAACACAATTGGGAAGACTTCATAACGAAGATCAGATTAAGCCTATAAGACGACTAGCAACATGATCCGCGCTCCCTCCAAGCGCCTCGGCCCCATCGCCAAGCGGGGTCTGGAGACGGCAGCCCACCCTCCTCCTCCGCCTCCTATGGACATGGGCATGGGCATGATGGGCCGCGCAGCCCGCAAGCCGCGCGCCGAAGGTGACGTGAGTCCTACTCTCCACTATCGTAACTCCCCCCTTCACCTTGTTGTCGAATGTTGTCTCCTCGCTGGCGTGAATCGGCGCCAGATCCACCCAGATCTGCACCTGTCCACCTGACTGCCTAGTCTCGGACCGGGCGGGCCGGTCGCGCGACGCTGCTGACCGCTCACCGCTCGCCGCTCGCCTGGAATAGTCCGAAACACACCGCAGTTGGCGTGCGCTACCTGATGACGGGCACGGAGGGCGAGACCGCCGCTGGGCCGCATTAAAGTGTCCGTGTCGGCGTCGCGGTGTTCCATGTCGCGAACGTTTGTTCGGGGCGGCGCACACGACTGGCTCATTGCCGTCGGGACTCGTGACATGGGAAGCGCAGGGAGCAGGGGCCAAGGACGAGGTTTCACTTCCAAAGAGACCATGATGGCCAGGTCCAAATAAGACGTTGAAAGGAAACGTAATGGTCAATGAGCCACGAGACCTCGGTCCTAGTCCAGGCTCACTCTCCCTTGCCCTGCGCTAGTGCCGAGACTAGCGCAGGATCCGTCGGCAACTCCCACTGATGCGACCCTCGGGGCTCGTACCTAATGAGTTCATTTAGCATTCCGCTGTTTCGACTGCGGAGCAGCCCCGGGTTGGTGGGCCGGCGCACTAGTGCACTAGCGCACCAGGGCCGAATGCTCGAGAGGAGTACGACGCTGCTGCACGCAACGATCGTCCGGCAAGAGCATGAAGTTTATTCGTGTGGCGCCACTACCCCGAGTCATCACTGGATGCATAACCCCCCCCTCCATTGGATGTCACCCGCTGCTATTCTCGAGCTTGTGCTGAGCCTGTCACGACTTTGTGCTGACGACAGATCGGCTCCGTCTTCGCCTCGCTCAGCAACGAGAAGGCGCAAGCCCTGCCCCCGCGGTTCCGCGACCTGAAGCGAGTCCTCATGGGCGACGCGGACAACCAGGCTCGCCTGATTGCGTCCTGGACCCGTCTCACCGACCGGCTGGCGAGGGCCGCCAGCGACATCGAGCGGAGACGGCAGGCCTGCGTCCCTGTTCTGAGCTACGACGAGCTCGTCTCTGGCGACGCCAAGGCCATCGCCCGCTTCAAGGAGTGCGGCACAGCGGTGCTGACTGGCGTGATCCCCGAATCGACGGCGGAGCGGTGGCTGGGCGAGGTCGAGGCGTACGTCGCGGCCAACCCGGACGTGAAGGGCTTCCCGGCGGACGACAAGCAGGTGTTCGAGCTGTACTGGTCTCGCCCGCAGCTCGAGGCGCGTTCCCACCCCCGCGCCATGGCCGTGCAGCGTGCCCTCCTCAACCTCTTCTCCGGCTCGGATGGCCCCGCGGCCAAGCAGCCGCTCGCGTACGCCGACCGGCTCCGCGTCCGTCACCCCGGCGACAGCCGCTTCGCCCTCGGCCCGCACATGGACGGCGGCAGTGTCGAGCGCTGGGAAGACCCCGCCTACAGGGCAGTGTACAGGGACATCCTGACGGGACGGTGGGAGCAGTTCGACCCCTTCGAGCTCGGCGCGAGGGCGCGCGCGAACCAGAATCTCTACGACGGACCCGGGGCCTGTGGCGTCTTCCGCGCGTTCCAGGGCTGGACGTCGCTCTCGCACACGGGGCCTGGTGAAGGCACTCTGCGCGTCTACCCGCGTCTGAGGGAGCTTTCCGCTTACACCTTGCTTAGGCCGCTGTTCCGCGCCCTCAAGACCGAGGCCGAGGTCGGACGCGAGGCGTATCTGGCCAGCGAGAACTGGATCCTGGACACGGTCACGAGCGACTTCCCCAACGCGCCTCCGGCGCGCTCGCAGGAGTTCAACGACGAGACACACCCCCACCTCCAGCTCGGACGCACAATGGTGTCCATCCCCCACGTCAGGCCGGGCGACCAGGCCTGGTGGCACGCGGACGTGATCCACGCCGTCGAGGCCACGCATGGCGGCAACGGGCCCAGCGCAGTCATGTACATCCCCTCTGTGCCCATGACGCCGCTCAACGCAGCCTATGTCGCGGACCAGCGCGAGGCGTTCGTGAACCGCATCCCGCCGCCGGACTTCCCAGGCGGCGTCGGCGAGAGTGCCTTCCGCGGCACGGGCACGCCCGACGACGTCAAGGGATCCGACGCCCGCCGGGCAATGGGCCTCGAGAAGTTTGAGGTCTCCGACACCATGCCCGCGAACGAGAGGGCGGTCGTCGAGGCGTGCAACAAGATTCTCGGGTTCTAGGCGAACGCAGGCAAACGCGAGGTCGTGAGAGGAGGCAGCTTATCATAGAGTGTACCGGTTATCAGCATGTATCCATTGATTTCGAAGTTCAGCGATAAAAGTGAGCGGAGCCCAGCGCCGGGCCGATCGGCACGGCCAAGAGACCGGAGGCACCGGGTGCGATAAGCCGGAGGGACGTGTCCGACCGATGGCGTTCTGGGCGGTCATCACCGTTCGTAGCGATCCGGCGCTGCCGGTACCTGGCAGCGGTATGCGATGCATGCGAGAGGATTTCCGAGGTGGTGCAGTAAGTGTAGCTAATGCTGCTGACAGCAGAGGGCTTGATTCTGTAAATCAAGTTCGAGTACACTTAAACTCGTGGCGATGGACGCTGTTGGCCCGCAGCCCTTGCCTCGTGACCGTGTGTCGCCAAGCGTTAAAGTGTTGACGGAGCCACTACCTAGATGACAGCTCTCTGTTACGCCGCACATGTTTGTCCATCGTTGTCAGTTTGTTAGGGTTATCTGCGTCCAATATGGGGTTCGGCAGGTTGTTGCGACGAGCCCACAATGCTCTTGCCGAGGGTACCGATCGGCTCGCTCAATCTTCGCCTCCCTCAGTCTCTCAGTCTGAGCAAGAATTTGAACAGTCAGTCAGAGAGGTCAGGAAGATGAGCCAGTCTTGTGAGAACAGAGTCAACATCTGTCACGAGGATGGGCTTCCGGAATCGACGACACTTCAGCAAAGTTATCGGCTTGGGCTGTTACGGTCAGCAGCAGGATGCCTTGCTTCGTTGAGAGCGAGCTCCCATCAAAATCTTGGAAACTCTCCTCTCTCACTTCTCAATCATGTGAAACCATACTTGAGGAGAGAGCGCCAAATCTCATCCTGTAAACCCCGATCAAAGCAATCAAGCAAGACGAGGATCGAAACTCGCATCGCAGGCACCCTCCCTCGGTCACCTAAACGATCACGTGACCGTCGCCACTCACCTCCACCGAGCCATGACGCATTGCGAGCTGCGACGACCGACTCGTCACCCCCGTCGAGCACACAGACATTGCGTTCATCAACAGCATCTTCACATCAACTGGCTATCTCGATAGCGACCTAAACGAAAGAATCTTAACGACTCGATTCACGACTCCTGGTGGAGTCCCATCCAGCACCAGCTCCCAAACTCGCCGACCTGTACTCGTCTTCTTCGACGTCTCACAGATCACAGCGTCACCTGGCTTCCCTGAGAAGTTAGTGTCCTCGCCGCGTACCGCAATTCAGCCAAGCATCCTTTTCAAGCGAACGTCTTATCGGGCAAGAGAGTTTCAAGATGCCGGACAACTCTGCTCTGGACGCGGATGCGCTCCTGCTCCTGCTCCCTACGCTCCTTCCTCGTTCCACAAGCTCACCCTTACCTCACCCAACTGACTCTGTGGCCGCCCTGGTACACACAATCCACACGCAGCTCGGCTTCCGCCTGCTGCCGTCACCCGGAACGGCCGCGACTGATGCCGGGTCATCTTCTGCCGGTGGTCCTGCCGAACCGGAGTCTTCCGGGAACAATGAGGACGACGACATGTCGGAGACCACGACAGCAGTGGACCCCAATGAGGATACCGGATCTGGGGTCGCCAACGTTCTTCCCGCCGGCTGGAACGCACGTGGCGAGGACAACTACACGTTCGAGTACCGGCACGAGCAGAGCAGCATGACGTTCCGCGTGCGCGTCGGGCGCATGGGTAGCCGGATCACGGTAGACGGGATGGCGGAGGACAGCGCACCTCACTCGTTTTCTCTGCCCGTGGGCGACATTGTGAACGCAGGGTTGTTCCCGATTCCCTCGGCCGCGACTGCGGCGACCGCCGCCGGTGACGAGCAGGACGCTGCCCGGGCGCTGGGTTTCGTGTCTCGCGACGCGTGAGTGGCCGCTGAGCTATCAATGTGCGGGCGACGATAGCTGACCCGCAGTGTGAACCGTTTCACCAGCTCGTACGACAGCAGCGTCGTTTCCCGTCTCGTCCCGGGGCTGAGCAAGGAGGGCTACACGGCGGCTGCACCGTGAGTAGATCTTCGTTTCAGGCTCAGCCACGAAACAGCACAAGTGAAGGATCGTTCAAGACTGACTTGCAGGTCATCGGCGCCTAGAGGTCCGGATGAGCGTCGCCGCCCGCGCCCTACGCCGGACAACCCGACCGGGCCCGAGCCGGCCCGGCCCGGCGTCCCCTCGCCTCTGATCGACCCTCTCCGAGGTCCCGGCGCCGTCCCAGCCGCATCTGTAGGTCACCGCGACCTCGACCGCCCCGACTCGAGCGGTGGCATGGTGGTCGACTTCAACCACCCGCTGTTCGCAGGTCGCCGCGGCCAAGGCAGCGGTGAGGTTCCCGACCCGTCCCACCCTTCCGGCGCTCGCTGGGACCCCGTTGGGCCCCACGGCCCGACTGGCCCACGTTTCCCCGGTGGCTCTGGCGGTAGTAACCCGCTCGGAGGCGTGGGCGTTACCGACCCGGAATGGCGCAACAGGTTTGGGGACGAGATGCCGCCTCCGGGCGAGTTTGGGCCAGACATGGGTCTGGGCCCCTTCGGTGGCCCTAACGCAGGACCCGGCGGTGGTCGCTTTGGAGGAGCAGGTGGAGGCCGCTTCGGCCCGGAGGGCCTGGCGGGCTCGGCGGCGGCTTTGGAGGCGGGCTTGGCGGAGGCGGCGGAGGCGGCGGCTTTGGAGGAGGGGGTTTCGGCGGGGGTGGGGGTATGTTCATGTGAGCGAGCGTCAGCGAGCTCCCGAGCTCCAACCGAGTCGGTGATCAGCGGACTTGGCATACGTTAGGCGAAACTCATCGCCCGAAATCAGCGTCGTAGTGTATAGTGGCTGGTCAGCAGAATGTATAGTCAAATGTGCAGTTCATTGTGAATGTGTGTGCGTAGGTTCATGAGGCGCAGCGAGTACGAGTGATCGCGATCAATCGCGGTGATCGGTCAACTGTCACGGGCAGCGGTCGCTTGTGCCCAGTATTATAACGGAACTCTTGTCGGAAACTATCTCCGCATGGTATGATTGGCAGTCAAGACGGGCACGGGATTCGGCGTAATTCCTGCACAGCACCAACGCGGGGCCGAGAGTTCAGCCCGTCATCCGCCTGCATATGTTGTACCCCGCCAACTGCGCCGGGCATGCCGACCGGCATATGGCATGTGGCAAGGCCAGCCTGAGCTCTGGCCACTGAGTAGCGTGCAAATCGAAAACGTGCGTGGCCAGCTGCATAAGGCACCCGCCGTGGCTTGTCGACTTTCCAACTCGGGTGAGTGGCCAAATGCTCGATGGATGGCCAGAACGGAAATTCGAACGCAGCTCTCCGGTTGGCGCACACAAAGTGCGATAAGAGATCGCCACCGTCTGCCGGCGGCACGGGCGGGGTCACGGCGCGCCGTGTCTCCTATCGACGCTATCTTTGGAGTGTGTCGTCAAGATTCTGTCTGTGTACTAGTTGCCACGCTGCACAGTTACGCATGCAAGGTTACGAGACTAGAGAGCCGGGCGCAACCGAGCACTGCTGCCGGCCGGAGAAGAGTGGGACCGGACTAGCACTAACAGACTAGCCCACGCATGCTGATCCCGGTAACGAGTCGAAGACGATCCGGCACGGACGCGCATGCACATGCGTGAGTGCGTGAGGCGTGATCGTCCCGGACAGCCGTGGCGAGTGGCGACGAGTCAATCGCGGATATGCCTTGTTCACACACATTCCCGCGACAACTCTGTACGTTATCGGGCACAAGACTACGCGAACCTACGACGTGTATAGTGTTCCCGATACCTTCGCATTCCCGCGACGTGTACCGCGTAGAATGGAGACGTGTACCGCGTACCGTGTCATGCAAAGTGGACGCGTAGCTGTACGCAATACAAGCTTGCACCGGTGTGCTCGTAGTTGAGCTGTGCGTGCCATGTCCGGTCATCCACCTGCACGCCCTGCGGGCCAATTATCTCCGCATCGACCAACCCCGCGCCTCAATAGCACGCGTAGCCGAGAACACTATCAACACAGCAGACAACGCGTCCAGGCGGTGTTCGGCTCGGTGGCAGATTATGCATGCATGGGGAGGGGATAAAGGGGAGTCTGACGCGATCCGGTCTCTGGGAACATGGACCTTCATACCGGGCCTAACAGGTGGAAACGAACGGGAGGCCGGCAGCAGCGCGGCAGTCCCTTCTCGGCCATCGATCAACAGCGTCAACAGCGTCAACAGCAGTGCTCCCTGCTTGGCGATGACGATGAGAATCTGGCGGTGTGTGATGTTCAGGATAACGTGTGTGACGTCGTGTTTGCTCGGTGAGAGCCGGAGCCGGCAGACGCAGGACCCAGACCGACTGCGGAGGAAAGTTGGGAACAATGGAAACCATGCATGGATTTCGGAGATGGCGGATGGAGGCCGTCCGCTGGGCCAAGCATCCGTAGTGCGCCTAGTGCATTATGCGGAGTGCAGTGCACGGAAACGATGGCATCGATCGGAGCCTGCCCACCGCTCTCGATATCCGTCGTCGTCATAGTTTTGTGGAGCTGCGATCGCACCTGAGCACCTGGGCATGGCCGGCGAGGCCGGCATGGACACGGGGTGCCGGAGGGCCTGGCCCCAGATGTTATCAACAGCACTGACGCTGGTGTGGATCCCGGGTATTCCCCGCAGCACGCTCCCTCGCTATGGTGTCATAGACCCCGCGCCGTTGCCCGGGTTGACACCATCTGCACCATTGTGGTGCCACTATGAGACTTCCGGATTCCGTGGTATGGAGCGAGCGGGCTGGCTGGGCATGTGGGCAACACCCTCCCCTACGTCCGGCGACTTGCTACTACGGCGTTCTGACCGGGGTTCGACGCTGTGGTCGGATCTTCGACTTGCTCCACATACACGTATGTACTACCTGGCAGCAGAAAAAATGTGGTGCATGCAGCATGTAACGGTTTGCCAGCCACGCTGCTCGATCACGCCTGGCTAAGCGATGCATGGCTGAAGTGGGGGGAACAATAATCGATTTTCAATCGACTATCAATGCGTGAACAGCGTGGTTCGGGTGATAGCGATTCGGGTATGCAGGCGAGGTCCGCTTGTACAGAGGGAGAGATACGTGATCGCTGCGAGGTGGAAGGGAGGGGGAAGGGGGAGACAGGAGAGTGACCGGTGCAAATTTCCCCGATCCTAGTCGCCATCCACCACGGCAATCGCGGTCTGGCGGTTACGGCGCTTACGGTGGAAAAATCGGCCGGCTACCACCTCTGTGAATAGTCCTGTTTATGGAAAAAGTCGGAAACACCCTGCGCGGCCTGAGGGGCTCGGTGGGTCGGTAACCGGTCAAAGAGCCCCCTTCCCTGAACTCCACAGTCTTGCCTCTCTTAAAGCTCTGCCCAGAACCCCGCTATCACGACTTTCTCATATCTTGCCCCGCGCTCAGCTCTCCGGTTCTCTCCATATCTATCTCTCTCTCTCAGATAGCACGACGCACACCTCGTGTCTGTGCATATAACCACCGACTGCCGACCGACTCCTTGGTCTCGCCGCATATATTCCACACTTCCGCCACTCGAGGCGGACATACCCATCACATCAGCCAACAGATCCTATCACCACCACCACCACCACCACTACTACTCTCGCAACCATGGCCACCATGGACGACCTCATCGCGATGGCGGGCCAGCTTCACATGTCCCAGGAGGCGCTCGACCTGAACAGCTTCAAGGCGCAGCTCGCGCGCACGCTGGTCCTCCCCATGCCGATCCCGACATCCACTACCGGCTCGAGCCCCGCGTCCGATGCGCCGCTACCCTCCCCGACGAGCTGCGGCTCCTTTGACGCCTTCCCCTTCCCCGCTCCCTCGCAGGGATCACCAACGCCGGCCTACCAGTACCAGGAGGACGACGCTGCGCTCGCAGCCGCCTTCGCCGGCGACGCCTTTGCCCCCATGGTCCAGCAGAAGCAGGACCCGTGGTCTGCCTTCCGCCCGAGCTCCTTCCAGGCTCCGCCGCCTCAGTACCAACCCCCGCCGCAGTACACGCCCCAGCAGAGCCAGCAGCAGGACGCGATGGACGCCGACATGGCCGAGGCGATGCTCTAAGCGCCCTCGAACACTTCAACACCACACCATATAATCATAGAACATTACCATAGCATTTTCTCACATCTCACATCCATCCATAGTTGTACCTAGACACACAAGACAAAGACAAGAAGAACACGTTGTAGACATTTTCCCAGAACTTTGCATGCATCAGTAGACATTTTTTTCCACACGCGATGCCGTCACTTGTTTGTTTGGAGTGGGAAACCCCTCCTTGTGTGACATGTTGGCGCGTACCGGACTGTCACACCGTGTCTGTGTTTGCGGGCAGCGGGCGAGTTGCTGACAGGGGAATGCATTTCCGGATCCGTCTTGGGAAGCATGCGGTCGCTCACCGTTGGTCACGAGGTCACTTGGACTCGGTATAGCTCGGTATCTGACTGCATTCTGCTGGAAACGGGATGGGAGTGTGGGCAAGTGGGTCGTAACCAGCCCGAAGCCACACTCAATGGTGCTGCGGAAACGATGCCGTCAGCCGTACAAACGTACAGGCGTACAGGCGTCTGCCGAAGCACACCATTTCCCTCTACCACAAAGCCCGGTACGAGGGAACAGGGGGGGTAGCGGATTGCTGGAAATCCGTCGACCGGCACAGCGGCACGGAAGTGGGTCAGCTGACGCTCGTCATTCTGGAGGCGGCAACTTGGCCGAGGGCTCCTCCTCGCTGCTCACCCGGCCCCGTTCATTCTGGGGCCTCTCAAGTGCTGCATCGCATGCATTACATGCATTGGCGAGCTCCAATGTAGGCTCGTCCTGAACTCCTTCCGTGAAACTCCGCTCCGCTGACTCCGTAATGAAGCCTCTCGCAACGGTATCGGACTGTTCGCAACGCACTTCGGCACGACTGTTGATTGCGCAGCAGCTCTGTCTCTGTTGTTGTATTTACTGAATTCAGAAACTTCACTTAGGTTTACACTTCCACCCGTGCTTCTTTCTGCATTCGGCTTTGTGGACCTGTCACGCTGGATCAGAATGCTCGATTACAACGCCACACGGCATCTGCGACCCACATTGCGACGGACCAGCCTAGCGGAGATTCTTCCGTCAATCCGGACGTTCCGTATAATGCGACGTCTCTCGCATGACTCGTTCCTACGTTCGTGGCCCCGGAGATCCGGACTACTGGACGGTGGGGAACCAGGCAGGCGCTGAGCGCTATGCAGTCATATGGGCAGACATGGGGTGTGGGCATGTGACTTGGTATACCCGACACTCATCCGGGTTGCTCGGCGACTTTGGCACAGCTTAGCCGTTCACCCGCCCCGATCCACCGGAACCGACCGTACAGGTCCACGAAAAAACGGCGAGTTTCACGAGCAGGCTGAAGGGAACCGGCAAGAAGCGGCCCATTGCATGGACCTGTACATCCATCCTCGAAATTTTCAGCGGCAAAGGACTCTTTTGAACGTGGGGGAACGAGTCCTATGCACAGAACCAGGGGTCGATTACGATCAATCACACGAGAGCGCGGGGCCAAGACGTGCTCCCAGCCCCCTTGCGCTAGGCGATAGCGCGAGGGGACCCCACACCAGTTGCTCCGAGAGACACTCCGCTCCGCTATCGTTTACACTCCCTGCTCTCCCTGCTCTCAGATCGCCGCTAGGAAGCTGCTGAGTCAGTTCGTGCAACGGGTCAATCACATCTCCCCATGGACGATACGTATGCAGATCGAGGAGATCCACGATAGGGAGCAGCACAGGGCCGAGGCGGTGAGGCGTATCCCGACGACGCCGGAAATTCTCTGTGGGTCCAGTTGTGGGAGACACCTGCCGGCCGACCTGACCTGAGCTGGGCTGTGCTTGGTCGCCGGTCAACCTGGCACGGTAATTCGCGGCAGCCTCAGTGGCCCAACTGACTGGTGCAAGCCAAGCAAACCCCTTGCCTGGCGCTTCCGGGCGCTCGAGGCGTACACGTGCCCGCTCTCGTCCTGGTGGCGCTCAACCTGAGCGCGGCGCCAGGCCGAGTGTCGAACACCGCACATCGCCGGATCTCCGATCCCCACGTCCCAGACACAGTTCCCCAACAACGGTCCAGCTGCATCGAAACGGTGCTACGGGTCGCGATCGAAATTTTCATCTCGCAGAATAGACGAACACAGGCGAGGAGGTCTTACCCCGCATTCATCATCGGACCCCCCACTCTCTGTGGAAATTTTCAGAAGCGTGAAAGGACCAGAAAGGCACAAGGTCCCAAGAAAAAGTCTGTCGGAAGCAATCCGCCGATCACACTGGTTGGTCGCGCTGATCGCGTAGCCCCGCTGGCCCCGCATTGGATCTCCACCAATGGCGTGCAGATCTCTCTGCGAGGCAAGCGAGTCTGGAGAGAGGGGCCGGTACCTCGCGACTTTGCGGCTCGGGTTCTCCGGTTGGACCTGTCGACCGGGCCGTGGTCCTTCCGGATACACATCAGGCAATCTGGCTGACTGACTGCAGAGAGGCGAGTGCCGTGCCGCCGGATAAAGCAGTATGCACCAGTTTGCTCCAAGCGAGCCATTGCTCTTCCGGCGATCTTTGCGAGCTCTGCGACCTATCCGGCCAACCATGAGTGCAGGTCAGATGTGGAGGAGGCGCGTGCATAGTGGGGCACCCATCCGCCCATCATGGAGCGTGGGGCTCGGCATTTGCCATAACTTTTGACGAGACACTGTTGACGAGTAAAAACGGACGGGGTGACTACCGCGATCGGTCCGGGATCCGTTCCAGCAAGGCGGAGTAAGAGCGGCGCTGGGAGGCTCAATTGGGCGATTAATCACGGGTGGGACATGTGCTCGAACTCACCCCACCCTCTCTGCTCCCCCACGCCAGATCCAGAACGGCTTTGCCTAATCTGGGGGGTCCGGGGTAGGTGAAGGTGTGAGTGATTGGCATGTGCAGACTCATGGCGGACAGCCGACTTGCCGAGCTGGTGTGATGGCTGGTGTGATCCGTGGTCAGTGCGTCTCCCTCAAGTGGACGCCGCACGGCGGAGCAGTCGGGTGGGCGGTAAAGCACACTCTCGGGTTAAGCGACCGTGGGAGACAGTGAGCACCAGGCGAGTGCTGACTGGGCTCGCGTCTCCGGCGTCTGAATCTCGGAGGCTCCCGAGTTCCAGGCTCGGAAGTGTCTCCGCTGACTCGACGCCGTACACGGCTCTGCTTACCGCCATACAACAGTAGAGACCGCTCTGCCCCACTGGAGGCCGCCGGAGTGCTTGGCGCCGTCATACCTCGCCGCAAATGTAATAGGCATGCCGCCGGCAGATTGCTGTTCACGAGCCCTGCTCAGATCTATCGGCTCCTCGGAATCCGGAATCGATCCCATTACACCCGTCCTTCTGTGCGTTTCTACTCGGGCTTCGACAGAGACGCCTGCACTGCAAGTGATTTCCGAGAAAACGGAGAACACCACTTCTTATACGAGATAACAGGTGTTTGTATTTCGATTCCGTCTGGATATGTCTTCTCCGTGATTCTGGTCTCACAGGGTCGTCAACTGATGTCTCATACAACGCCGCGATACCGCTTCCCGGACTGTGACCGATGGCGAACTCGTCAACCTCGTCAGCTAGTCAGCTGTTGCTAAATGCAGATCATTCCCGGGCCCCACGCCGGCCCCGCCCACGCCAGACGCCCACCTGACGACGATCCGGAGCCCTCCGAGACACCATCGCACATCGCTAAGCGACCTGCTTTCTCATTCTTCGTGCGAGCGCCTCGTACGTCGTCCACGGCTCATGGCGGTTCAGGCCGGTATCGACGGCTCAGAACGGCATGCATGGCATGGTATGCGTGCGATGATCGAAATCGGACCGTATCCGGACCTACTGGATACGAAACTGGAAATGAAACGGCCCGGTAGAAAATAAGCCGCGAGGTACCGCGCCTTACCGCATCCTCCGTGCCCACCGGTATCTGGCCGAGTGGGCTCCAGAGTTCCAGACGCCGGCGATCAGCGTTTGCAGCGGTGATCTGCGCGGATCTGCACCGGATGCAGGTCGGATGTGTACAAGCGGCAAGCGATCGTAAACCAGGTCTATGTATGCCTAGCCGCCGGGTGTTGGAAGGGTACTCTGCGCGGGCGTACTGAGCGGGTTGCGCACCGCCGCTGTGAAGTGCGTATGTGCGGGCTACGATGCGGGGCTCTCAGAGCGGAAGGTCAATTCCATGCTACTGAAGTTGATGCTCTGAGTTACCTGTTCTTGGCCACTGATAACGAACATTGGCATATGTTCTCACCCCGACAAGCTGTTAGCCGGCTGCATCGATTGCGGGCGGACGAGCGGCAATGTCCGTCGATCGACGTTTGCCGCCCGTTCTCCATCGGTCATCTCCCGGCCGCGCCGGTGTCTCGCAGCCGGCGGCGGGGAGCGATTCAGAGACGAGCGCTGGACCAGTGCGGGCGAGATACGTCCTCGCGTATCCCTTGTGGGGTTCTGCGCTGCTTACTGCTAGCCGCAGCCCTGGTCCCGTCAAGTGGCAAAGCCAAAGAGTCCAGGACTCGACGCCGAGCCCGGTGACGGCCACTGTCTCTGGTGCGACGGCCCCGAAGTGGTCCGTTCTGGGAGCTCCTCTGGATTGTTTCTGGACTCGTGCCTTACTTCAAGCTGCCACAATTCACATGTCAGTTGCCAGAGTCTGGATGCGGTCAGGCTCCTGCACGGCTGCACCGCATTGTCACACCCTTGTGGCATTGAAGACTGACAACCTCTGGAGACATTGAAGTCAATATTGCTTTTTCCACTCATGGGGTACGGGCTATCACCTTCAGACCATTGATCGTAAACTGATGATGAATCGGAGTGCACAGCATGACGAAGGGAACACCCACACGCTTCAGAGTATAAAGCAAAGTCCAGTGGAGAAGCGGACCGGGCGTTATATGACATTGCCTCGCCACTCTCACATACTTCAAATTGACCATCGCAACCATGCTGATCACAGTCTTCATAGCAGTCGCTTCTGTCGCGCTCGGCGCCCCCTTCGAAGAAGCCCTGGACACACGAGATGGTGCAGAGTACACGACCGAAGTCATGATCCACGGCAACACCCCTCTCTCAATCGGGGACATCAGCGCCTTCGAGCTAGTGCGCGAGGCGCTCGACGAGCTTTGCACGGGTCAAGACTGCGACACAACGCGCTGGTCAACCCCTAAAACCACAATGAAGGGGTACACGAACAGCGCGAGCGAGCTGAAGTCGTACAACGTGTCGATATCCGCCAACGCCATCTTTCCTGTACTGAAGGGAGCTGATGGGAAACTGGATGGCGGCGGGTTGGCGCGCACGAGCCTGAAGACAGCCATGGTCGAGGCGATCCGTCTCGGCGAGCAGAGGAAGTGGCTCGAGTACTCCGTCTACCCCGACATTAGCGGCGGTATCGCAGGCATGAACATGCTCCATTCGAAATGGGACTGGTTCGGGTCCATCCATCCCCAGTATGCGCTGTATCGGAGCCAAACGGGCGACGGGTCCCAGGCGGGACACATCGTGATTGAGTTTCAAGTGCATGAACTCGGGCCCAAGGCCGACTTCTGCAGCGTCCTGAGCAATATCGTCGGCAGTCTTGCCAGTGGAATCGGACTTTTGCCCATGGCCGGACCGATCTTGGGATGCTTGGGGTCGATCGCCGCCAGGGGCGCGGGGAGTTGCGCCAAGTCCAAGCGAGACGGGGAGTATGGCGCCTATGTCCCCAACTTTACCAACAACTCGTACACCCAGAGCCTGCTGGATGGAGAGAACTGGTGGAGCGAAACTTCGGCAGCTCTTGCTGGCTGAGACTGTAGCGAATGCAAAGATGACCGACGTTGCTAGTTCGGAAAAGCGTGAGATGCGCCCTGTCGTCTGAAGATCTCACTGACATCCTTTCGTGCACTGCGTAGGGGCGCAGCCTGCCACGACGACGTTGCGAGCACTCCTTCGCATTCATTCACTTTCGCAACATCATTGACTCTAGTGAAGCGACCGTCACTTCATCATCCTGGAGCATCATTCACCACGCAGAAGAGCAGGTGTCTGGTGAGCTGAGCCGCGGTAAGTGTGCGTAGCTGACAATCAGGGAGCCACGCTTCGGTCAGTTCTCTAGAGGGGCCGAGCTGACAAGCGGCCGGTCGCCCTGCTAAGTGGGAGGTAAGACGGCGAGATACCTCTATGTAGCTGACAAGCAGACTTGAAACGAACTCTCTCATGACGGATTGTTGAGGCGTGAGCTGCCCGAGGAAGTCTTTTGAAGCTCATGAAAGATATAGGTTCACAACATCCCCATTCGCTCACTCTCTTCCTCACCCTCATAATGAACGTCAGGACGTTCCCCGCTCGCCATCGACTTTCTGCGGACAAAGGAGTCTCAGACCCGTGAGCTTCAATTCCGTGACTGCATGTAGCTTACAACCAGCGTGGAGCAAGTCGTCAATCTGGTAGAGGTAGCCCTGCACCATATATGCTCGCTGGAAGCTTGGCACTTCCAGTGCTTGTTTATGCTAACTCCTCAACTCCTCACCCAGTTGTCGAAAGCCCTGAAAACTGACCGCCAGCTCCCTCAACCCCCTTCATCGGTACCACTCGAGGATTGTCAGTTGATCAATTCTGGAAAGCAACTGACAAGCCAGGCAGTGCTTCACTCAAACACGTCAGCTGCCGAAGGCGAGTAAGGTCAAGTCCGTGATCTGCGTCGGCTAGGAAGCCATCAGCTGATGCCCAATATTGTGCTCGAGTTTAGCTCAGCTCCGGAATATGCGAGGTGAGCTTCTGAAAGCTGCTGGAGCTGACTTGCAGCTGATCCTGCTCCAGTGACTCGGCCGCCATGATACGTCAGCCGTCTGGATCTCGGTTTCTGATAGCGAGCACTTGCCGACCCTGCCCAGCGGAGATAACCGTTGCGAGTGAGCTGGGTTGGGAGTACGGCTGAGCTTACCCACGGATCCTTGAAAACCCACATCCCCGCGACCAACTTCACCTATCCTGTAAGCTTGAAGACCCGATTGGAAGCTAACAGTCAGTGCGCGGGTGCTCTACAAAGTGGACAATATGATCCATGGGCAAACAAACCCTTGGTCAGTTGTCGCCCCCGATTGATAACTGACGCTCAGAATTGACATGCGCCGTCGCGTACCGTACCCGGGGCAAGGACTGGTGAGCTCGCTCTCCTTCCACATGTAGCTGACATCCAGACTAAACATCCGGTGCACCATCTCGGCCTTTCAAGCGCGCCATACTGAGCTCGTGAGCTAAGCGTACGTTGCGGCGAGCTTACACCGCAGCACTCCTATTTCTCACAGCTATTGCTATCCAAGTTCGGGCTGTAGTCCTAGCAAGAGTGAGTTGAATAGTTGAGCTTGCCAACTGACCAGCAGCCCCCTTCTTCACCAAATCTGTTTTCGCAAGAGAGACGAAATTTGGGACTGTCCGATCGGCTGTTAGAACTGAACACAATAGCTAACTCTCAGGTCACTCTTCGCTGGGCTCGACTTTCGGACCAGTGAGCTGTTCTTACTGCCTCGAGCTGACAGACATACACCTCCCTCGCCCTAAACATACACCTCCCTCGCCCTAAACATACACCTCCATCGCCTTAACATCTCAGTCGCCCTCGAGTCGCGGCAATGTAAGCTAGGGTCTCCAGTAGCCAAAGCTGACGCCAGGTTCTGAAGCACTGAAAGCAGCCATGCATCTCCCTCCGAGCTCACCGGGTCTCCCCTGTATTGCTGTAGGATCCTTATGCATCGTTTCTGAAGATGGAACAAGCAGAAGTATCGGAGTTGCCCGACCGCATCGGGCCCCGCAGGCCTCGATAACCGGCTACTCGGCATCTCGGCGTCCACACGGCCACACGGCCAAGCGCAGCGCTTGGACTAGCCCACTCACGTCTTCTTCTTTCCTACTTCACTTCAATCCTTTGAATCTCTCTACACATATCCAAGCTCTCCTCCTCTTATCCTCTCAGCTTAGGGCTCAGAACGAGGAGGGAAGAGAATCACGATGGGACGAAAAAGCAACCTCCTCCCCAAACCCGCCAAACGGGCCCGGCCCCTCCCCCCTCTCCCGCAACCCACCTCCGAGCACGTCTACCGCACAGTCTCCGGCGTCGACGTCCCACTGCGTATCTGGCCCTCCTTAAAACCCGGAAAGAGGCCATGGGTATTCTGGATCCACGGGGGAGGTATAATGTGAGTCTCGGTGAGCGCCGTTTGGCGCGAGCACTTCGCCTTCATTCCCGTCCAAGTCTTGTCCAAGTCTTGCAAATCTGGGGAAGTTGGTGGAGGTGAGGAAGTGAGGAAGTGGGAGGTGCTGACACCAGGCTGGGCCACCACTGTCTTCCCCGCCCCTGGGTTCTGCCCGCCTTCCGCTCAGAGGGGTATCACGTCGTCTCAATAGCGTACCGAATGCTGCCCCATGCCTCATTCAGTGACGCAGTATCGGACCTGAAGGCCGCTTTCGCGTGGCTCCGCCTTCATCTCCCCGAGGCCATTACGGCGCTCTGCCCAGCCTCCTCCGTCGACCTGGACAGCTACATTACGGCGGGGGACAGCGCGGGCGGGATCCTCGCGCTCCTCATGCCCTTCGTCCTATCTCCTAAGCCACGAGCCGTATTCGAAGCGTACGCCATCACAGATTTGGGCGAGTATCATCCGCCCAAACCGGCCCATTTCCCGCTCTCCGGCCTCTTCTCTGAAGACGAGATTAGGGCCGCGCTGGAGGAGAGAGACCCCGGAGGAGCGATGACGGGGAACCTGTACAATGTGGAGCTCCCGCCTCCTTTTGGAAGAGTGAGGGCTGAGGATCTGGAGAAGGCCATTGGGAGGAGACTGGAGGAAGGAGAGGCGAGGGGCATGGCTCTGCGCAACGACATGTCCAACTACTGCCTCAAGCATAAGCTCACGCTCCCGTTGTTGTTCCGGCATACATTCCTCGACAAGCCCATCTTAGCTTCTGGCTCCCCTTCCCAAATCGCCAAGGCCGAGGCCGACTTCCAAGCCCAAGTCCAGGCCCTGAGTCCCCTCCACCTCCTCCGGAGACAGAACGAGTACCCGCCCACAGTGATCTGGCACGGGACGACAGACGGCGGCGTGCCCCACTCCACGCACGCTCTGCCCTTTCTCAAAGAACTCGATGCGCGCGGAGTCGATAGCTTGGCCCTCTTTGCCGTCGGCGCCAGCCATGTCTTTGACGCGTTCATCGTCGAGCCGAGCGATCAGGGCTGGAGCGACTTTGTGCTCCCGACCATGGCTTTCATAAAGCGGCACGTTCCCCCCGATGCCGCTTTGGATGGGCGGGACGGTCGGGAGAGGGCGAAACTGTAGCCAGAGAGTGGTTAAATTGTCCAATGCATCTATGGTTCGTTATAGTCGTGACAGTTTGCCCCCTTGCCCCCCGGTACAGACTTAGGGGGTCTTGCCTTCCGGCTCATTCTTCTTAGGAACGGCGGCCAACGGCGGCGCAATGCCGACCTCCTTCACGGCCCGCCTCAGCGCCTCCCCGCTCTCATCTATGGATCTCAGGAAACGCAGCAGCTCCTTGCACAGCTGCGTCTCGTCCCTCTCTATCGCGAGCCGGAGTAGGCGCACTGTGTCCGCCGCGTCGTCGGCTTCTTCCAGCGTGTGCATGACCAACAGATAGCTGGCGGCAGAACGCAGCGCGCCAGAGGCGATGCAGCGCTCGTACAGCTCGCGTGGCGCGCCCACCACGCCGAAGAGGAGAGACCAGTGCTCAAATTCGGTCTTTCGAGCGCAGCCGACCACCACATCGAGCGATTCGGGGAAGTGGTCCAGAAACGTCGCAACTAATGAGAGCGTGCCCGTGCCGTCCGACTTGGTGCTGCCTGGCGACACGGCGCCGCCTGGGTCGGACTTTTGGTCCACTTTCGAGGCTAGGGCGTCCACGGTGTCCTCCAGCACTGAGTGGAGGAGCACTTCCAGCGCATGGGCGAAGTACACGAGCTCGTTGTAGTTGGACGCAAACGCCAGGGCTGAGCGGAGATCCCGCCGCTCGAGGTGGTACCGCAAGAGTTCCGGGAGGAAGAGCATCGTGCTTGTCTGCAGCTTGAAGAGGGCGAACGGGAGTGCCCTCGCGCTCGGCTCGTGGTCCACGCCAATGATGATGCCCTTGTCGATTAAGAGCGACAGCGGGTAAAAGTCCAGCCTGAGACAGACACTCTCGCTGACGCTCTCGTAGCTGTCGCGGTCCGTGTCCACGCGCGTGGCCTCGATCGTCAGCGCATCGAGCCAGACACGCATCGACCGACCGTCGTAGCCCCAGAGCGAGTTTTCGAGCGTGCCCACACCCTCCAGGTGTGTCCAGTAGCTTTCGATCCGGTCCGCGAGGACTTGCATGTCGTACCGCACCTCGTCGCCGCCTGCCCTCCGGGGACGCAGGAGGACAAGCCGCCCGTCGACGAGAAAGATGATCGTCGCGACGATGAGATCGTCGGCGGGGTCGCCGAGGCGCCGTTGCGCGTCCGGAACGAGCCATGAGAGTGCCCTCACTCGCGCGGGGACAGTCACGAGCCCCTGGAACCCAATCGACCCGCACAGTTGGAGGCGGATCGTGTCCCGCGTCGGAAGGATGAGGAAGTGGTACAGCATGCTGTCTGCTGTGTAGACCAGCAGCGAGTTGCCAAGCAGACTCATACAGAGCACGGGAGCGGGCACGGCGTGCGCGCTGAGCACGCCCGACTCGGTCAGCTCCGCGTCGCGAGAGTACAGCCGGATGGCGTACTTGCCTCCCTGCTCCACTGCCGCGATGAGCACGTGGTGGAACCAGAGCAGGCCGCCACGGACCGAGAACGCGCGCTCCTCGCGCTCGTGCGTGAAGAGCTTCCATCTCCCACTCGCTGCTGAGTAATGCGTCAGGCCCCGCTTGCCAGCGACAGCGACGAAACGCCCGTCGCTGCTGATACATGCGTAGCGAATCGGCCAGTTTGTCGCAATGTACACGGCGGGAATGTGGATATGTTGCCACACATCAGACTCCGGGTTGATGACCGACATGTCAGGCTGGTCTGCGCCGCGGTAGACGAGCACCCGGTCGTCGAGCTGAAGGAAGGCGTAGCGCGTGTTGTCAGGCGAGTGCTGAGACGTTGTCGCACTCTTCACGAAGGGGAGTGCGAACAGCCGCGTCGGCGCGCTCGGTGCCACCATGAACAGGTCCAGGTTGCCTGGAGCCCAGAACAGCGCGGAGACGCCGCGCATGAAATCGTCCACGGGACCGGAGTCGTCCTCCTGCGCCGCCACGCCCCAGCCATCAAGTCGGCCGCCCATACTCCACACTGCCCAGCCATTCTCGTACCCGACTGCGAGCGCGTAGCCGTCTGACGTCCACGCCATGGTCTTGACGGCGCCGGGCTTGACCCGCAAGTTTGCTGCGTGTTTCAGGTCGAGAGCGTGCGAGAATCGCGCAGCTTGCGGCCACGGCGGCAGAATCATGACATGCACGAGTCCGTCCTCGAGTCCGACGGCCGCCATACCGAGTCGTAAATTCACCGCCACCTCGACAGCTTTTACGGACACTGGGGGTACCGTGATCAGGCCAAGGCTCACCATGCCGCCGCTCAGGCTGTCGGTCGACGGCGGCGGGTAGATCGCTTGACCCACAAAGCGCGTATCCGGCAATGGTGTCCGCGAGCTCGGCGGCTGGGCCTGTTGGAATAACTCGACCTGCGACACAGCGTACATTGCGTACACACGCCCCTCGTCCGTTAAGATCGTGTATGTCACCGGCATGCCTTGCAATCTTGACGCCGTCATTGCCATGGGAGCTGGTATCCGTTCTGTCGTCAGTTCAAAAGGACTCCCGTGCAACTTACCTGACTGGTCAAGCCAGTCCTTTGCCTTACCCAGGTCCCACATCTCACACTCGACCTGCGCCTCGCTGTCGCCATCGAGCGGTAGTGGGGGGAAGTGCGAACCCGGCGGAGTAACAAGCTGCGTCGGAAGCGGCCACGGCACGACAAATATTGACGGCGGATGCTGCAGCGACAGCAGCAGATTGTGGCTCTGAGCCACGACGCTGGTGCACTTGCCCATGACGAAGGCGACGCCCCGATTCTTCAGCTCGAAGCCCCGCAGCGACTCGCCTTCACCTGCACCACCGCCGGCGGGGAAGTGCGTCGTTGGCACCGACTCGTAGACATCACCGGTGGTCGCGACCAATCCATAGATGAGCAGGTGCGAAGTTGTCGTCTGTGGTCAGCTTCCTCAGAGCCGTTGAGCTCACGAGTATGATGAGAGATCGCCCGTCCGAGGACCAGTACACCTCCTGGTTCGCACCCCATCGTTCAACGCTGTCTCGACTTCGGACTACCGAGGCTTGGAGGACGGTTGGCTGAGGTCAGCATTGATAAAGGAAGGAAGACACACGCGGACATTCCACACGCCGAAAGCAGCTGGACTGAGGGCGGCGAAGAGGTTGCCACGCTTGTTGGGTACGATGTGTGTTGTGGGGTCGCGACCCAGGGGAGCCGGGGTATCGAGTATCCTAGCGGCTGATGTCGGCCAGTACATGGGGGTTTCGTGAGAGACAGGTCGTTATCACAACAACAACAAATGATGGAGGGTGATGGTTGAGCTTGAGCACGGGATACGACGCGGTGGAGGGCGATCTCTCTGGTGGTCACCTCGAGGCCCCGCACTGTTGGAATAGGCGTGTCAATACCATGCCAGACCACTGCATGCCTACCATCCAGGCACGGAGGGATGTGCGACGCCCTGTGTCTCTTGTTCACGTCATACCAAGCGATGGAGAGAGTTTCAGAGCGGATTTGCCTCCGCGTCATCGCTCGCTCGCTCGCTCGCATGCTCGTCATTGCCGTAGTCTGCTCCTGGATGCAATGCAACACGCGCGCTTCGACGACAATCCCACTACTCCCTCCCTCGCTCCTCATCGCACTTTCCTTCTCCCCTCTTCTTCATCCACGCCACGCCGGCACATCCACCCCACATCACACGCTCTTTACCCCTTCGATTTCTTCCTAATCCTTCGATCCACCCAAAATGCCGTCCAAGCCGAGGGCCAGCGAGCCCGCTCGGCAGCCAGGCTCCAAATCCGCCGGCAAGCGTAACGTCAGTCAACCGACTGCCTCCTCATCCTCCTCCTCCGCAAAGTTCTATGTAAGCATGACAACCTCAAAATCTCGCTCACACTTTAGGACGGCCCCACGCAGACGACAGCCAAGGGCGTCAAAGTTCAGTCGAAGCAAGGCGTGCACGGCCATGACAGCAAGGTCCTCGAGGTCACGGTGAGTACCCCCCGCTTATGAGGCGCATGAACCCGCCGGGACGCTAATCTTTTCTCCGCAGATACCGCAGCAGCAGACCAAGAAGACCCGCAAGTCGAGCAAGCGACGAAACCCCATCGTGGCCCTGGTCACGCTCCTCCCCCTCGTCCTGCTAGCGTCGCTCTTCTCGACCGTCCTCTGCCCCCCGCCGGCATCTGAGCCTAACAGTTTCAGCAAGTACGCGCTAAGGTCCTTAGGCCTGGGCAAGAAGCATGACCACCACTCGCTTCACCAGACCCTTTGTTACCCGGCCAACCAGTACTACACTCACGTCCTCGAGCCGTACGTCTACCCCGCCATCGAAGACGTCCGCTCCAAGGTTCACTCGCACCCGACCTACAAGCAGCACATTGAGCCCCACTACCACAGGACCAAGGATGCCGCGACCCGTGTCTGGAACGGCCCCGTCAAGCCTGTTGTGGACCGTGTCTCGCGCGGAGCAAACAAGCTGTACCGCCAGTACATTGCCCCGCACATCCCCTACGTCAAGGCCAAGTTTATCGAGGCGACTGCGCCCCTCACGCTCCACGCCAAGAACCAGTACAACACTCACCTCTCGCACCACGTCAAGGCTGGAAAGCACCACGCTTGCGCTGGATTCAAGAGCCTGAAGGGTCACTACAACACTGCCTCGCAGCACCACTTCACGGCCCAGGCCAAGAAGCACGCCTGCCATGCCTACCGTGTTGGAAAGCAGAACCTCCACAAGGCTTACGTTTACTCCAAGCCCCGCGTCGAGTATGCCTACCACGAGGCCAACTACCACTTCCACAAGACTGTCCTCCCGAAGACGTGCGAGGCTGTTCGCAACATCTCCGAGTTTGTCGCCAGCACCTGGCGTCTCATCAAGGCGCACGCCAAGCTCTTCTACAACGACCACCTCGCTGAGCACGTTGGCCCTCACGTCAAGAAGTTTAAGGCCGCCGTCCAGCCCTACTGCAAGACCTTTGACGAGAAGGTCTACACCCCCTACGTCGCCCCGGCCGTTGCGGCCGTCGCTCCCCACGCGAAGCAGGTGAACAAGGACTTCTGGCAGCTCATTTCGGACCTCGTTCCCGGCGTCGGCAACATTGCCGAGTCCCGCGGTTCGACTCTTCGCGACAGGGTTCAGGACAAGAAGCTCAACTGGCAGGCCATGCAGGAGGCTAAGAAGCAGCAGGCCGACGCCTCCAAGGCTGCCAAGGAGGCGAAGAAGAGCGTCGAGAGCGCCGCTAGCGTAGCCCAGAAGAGCGCTGAGAGTGCCGCCAGCGTGGCCAAGAAGAGTGCTTCGAGCGCTGCCACCCAGGTCAGCAAGGCGACTGTCCAGGCGAAGAAGGACGCGAAGACCGCTGCCAGCGTCGCTGAGAGCTATGCCTCTGACGCCTCCAAGCGTGCCAAGGCCACCGCCTCGTCTGTCGAGAGTGAGGTCCGCAAGGCTACCGACAAGGCCAAGAAGGACGCTCCCTCCATCTCGAAGAGCCTCAAGGCTTCCGCTTCGTCTGCCGAGACTGTCGTCCGTCGTGCGACCGACAAGGCCAAGAAGGACGCCGCCTCCGTTGCTGAGAACGTTAAGGCGTCCGCCGTCTCTGTCGAGGCCGAGGCTCGCCGCGCCACCGACAAGGTTAAGAAGGACGCCGCCTCGGCTGCTGAGCACGTCAAGGCGTCCGTTTCTTCCATCTCCAGGGAGGCCGACAAGACTGCCTCTACTGCGTCCCGCCACCTGAAGGCTTCCGCCTCGTCCGTCAGCACCGAGGCCGAGAAGGCGACCGCCCACGTCAAGAAGGAGGCCTCGTCGGCTTCCATCCGCGCCGCCGCCTCCGCCTCTTCCGCATCGCTCAAGGCCAAGGCGTCTGCTTCCTCCGCCTCCATCCGCGCCAGGGTCTCCTCCGCCTCGGTCGAGCGTGACGTCGAGCACGCCACCGACAGCGTCAAGAAGAACGCCGCCTCTGCCACCGAGCAGGCCAAGGCTTCCGCCTCGTCCGCGCACAAGAATGTCAAGGACACTGCCGAGAAGGTCAAGAAGGGCGCTGAGCGCGTCGTCGAGGCTGCCGGCGTCGCCGCCGCTGTTGGTGCCGAGAAGGCGAAGGCCTCTGCCGACAAGGTCAAGGCTTCTGTCGCTTCGGCTGGCGAGGACGCCAAGGCCTCTGTCGCCTCTGGTGCCGCCAAGGCTAAGGCTTCCGCCTCGTCTGTCAGCAACGCTGCTGCCGCTGGCACTGACAAGGCCAAGGCCTCTGTTGCCTCTGCTGGCGAGAAGGCCAAGGCTTCCGTCGCGTCTGCCGGCGAGAAGGCCTCGGCTTCTGCTGTTTCTGCCGGCGAGAAGGCCTCGGCTTCCGCCGCCTCGGCCAAGCAGGACGCCAAGTCTGCCACCCAGCAGGTCAAGAAGGCGACCGACACTGCCACCAAGGCCACCGCCACTGCCACCGCCACTGTCGTCGTCGCCGACGAGCCCGGAGCTCAGAAGGTCATCGCGAAGGAGGACGTCGAGACGGACCACGGCGCGGTCGCTGACCAGCTCTCGGCTCTGAAGAAGAAGATTGACAACACTGGCCGCAACGTCTACGGCAAGGTGCAGAGCGAGCTCGTCAAGGCGTACCAAAAGTTCATCGACCACGACATTCCCGAGCGCCAGGCGATCGGCGTGCAGAGCCTGGACCGCGAGATCACGCGCATGTTCAACGGCCTGGACCGTCTGTACTCGAACTCGAAGACGCTCACGCGCGACCAGGTCGCGGAGAGCGTGCGCATGAGCGACGCCAAGGTGTCCAAGGTTCTGCAGACTGTGCGCCACGGCGTTGCGTCGTACCAGGACCGGATCGCGGACCCGGCCAAGGGCGCGATCGACTCCGCCAAGGCCGAGCTCAACAAGCTCGAGCATGAGGTCGAGAGCCTCGGCAAGCGTCTCACAGCCAAGGCCGACACGAGTAACAGGGAGTGGGCGGGCTACAAGGGCCTGAAGCGCGACGTCGAGAGCTGGAAGAACAAGATCGAGACGTCCGAGCCGGGCAAGAAGCTGAAGGAGGTGCAGCAGAAGGCCAAGGTCGCCATTGCCGAGGTGCAGACTGAATTTGACGAGATGTTTGGCGGATGGAGGGAGCACCGCGACCGCATCCGCCAGGTTGCGCTGGACCGGATTGAGGCAAGGGAGACGGTGGCCAAGGAGAAGGGCAAGGCGAACACGGCGACGATTCAGAAGTGAACCCGAGGCGCGCCGCGCCGAGGGTGGAGCGAGAGCTATGGACTGAGAGCAATCCTGCTCGCCGACACTCAGTCCGTAGTTGTGCGATCCGTAGTTCGTAGTTTTACATCTATACCGTTATCTATTACTCCGGCCGTAGACGCAAGCAGGGCCGGATATGTTATTCCCATTTGATCTCAGCGTGTGGAGCATCCGCATTCCCAGCTGCCGGCCAAGACGTCAGCTGATCACGGGGCATGCAAGGGAGGAGGTACGGAGGTATGACGGTGATGCAATGCGTTCCTGGGGTCAATGAAGCTCCGCAACGAGGATGCGGAATCAAAGTTGGGGACATATCCGTCCGACCGGTGTGGAACGCCGGTCGGTCGGCTAGTGAGCAGCCGCGAGGCCGCGAACTCCATCGATCCTCCCTCCACAGTCACACCCAGCCCGACCGATCCCTTGTCATTGCTTATTCTCGCCGTCTTATCACTTCGATCACTTCGGTACTCCGGTCCCCAGCCGCGCGCAGCTCTTCGGCCTCTAGAACACAGACTCACGCAAAGAGGAGAACAGCTGCCCCGCCGACAAACGCCTAGGAACATGGCGGGACCGTATGTCTCTTTAGGAGGTGTAGTGCTAATGATAAAGGAGCGAGGCGGCACCACCACTCCCAAATCTGCCGGATGGGGCGTGGGCGAGGCGAGCGGTGGGGATGGACCAGTGGCTCATAGGTGAGTCCGGCTCGCGGCTCGAGGACGAAGTCCGAGAGCTCCTGTCCATGCCTCTTGGGAGCCGAGAGCGCTCGGCGAACGTTTGGGACGTGTGGAATTGGTCTGTCGTCATTGGCCCAACTCTATCGCCTCCGCCCACACTAGCGTCGCCGAGATTGTCTCCGAGCTCGTATCAGACGACCGAGTGACCGAGTGGGCGTGAGGAATCGAGTATATGTGAAGAGAATGGGACGCGGAACGATGCGTCGGAGATGAACGCGATAAACCCCCCGTTCAAGCTGGCAGAATGAGAGCTAACGGACAGACCACAAGACGGTCGTCTCGGCCACGACGGCGTCGATTGTATCCACCTTTGCAGGCTTTCCCGTAAGTGTGCTCCTCTCCCCCATCTTACTCTCCGTTCTGCTTCTCCTCCCACTCCCACTCTCGCTCGGTACGCTCTACTCCTCCCGCTCCTGCTCGCTTCGCTCGCACTCGCTCTCACGAAACGCTCGCTGACGCTCGCATTTAGCTCGACTCGCTCAAGTCCCGACTGCAGAGCTCGCGCGAGAACCTGACCATCCCCCGACTCGCGCGCGAGGTCATCAAGGAGGAGGGTGTTGGTGGGTGAGTACCGTGTCGAGCTGAGGAGCACGTTAGCGCTCCGAGGCGAGGCGCGAGGCTGTATGGCTTTTGGCCGCCTAGCGCATGACCATAGAGCGTTGTACGCTGGCTGGTTGTTTGCGTGCCGAGCTGTCCTGTGTGCCGAGAAGAACGCACTGCGGCGCGGTTCTGGGCGTTGTGTCCAGAAGCGACGTAAATGAAGGATGCCAGGTTTGATCGACCCGATTGATCTGCAGCCTTCTCCCCTTGGCGTATCTGGGTCGGTTCCGACCAGCCCTCTATGTCGCCCAACTCTCGGTGCTCTGGACTACATCGCAAACCAGCCTCCGCCCCGTCGCCCGCTGCTCCGCACGCTATCGCGTGCACCTCTCCACGCCTCTCACGCTCCGCGCTTCGCGCTTCGCGCTCCGCTCTCCGCTAACGTCAGACTCTGGCGTGGCTTCCCCCTCCCACTCATCACGATCAGCATTGTGCGCACGATCTCGTTCAGCATCTACAGCGCGACGAAACGGATCCTGAATTCCGAGCCGGGGACTGTCGAGAATACGACCGATGCGAGCGGTAAGACGCCCTGGATCAATCTCCGGCTGGGTATTCTGAACAAGGACTCGACGCTGGATGTTGCCCTCACGAGTTTGCTGGCCGGTGCGGCCAGTGGAGCCGTGGTCTGTGTCGGAAGCGCGCCGTTCGAGCTCGTCAAGGTGGGTTTCGATATGGAAGGAGGACAGGGGCGATGGCATAGCTGGAGGATGGTGACCGGTAGCTGACAGCCAGGTCCGACGACAACTCGAGTACCAGATCTACCGCGACAGCCACCCCGAGCTGTACGGCCCGGCCGAGGGCTCTGCCTCCTCCACGCCCAAAGTCCGAGCACAGGCTGCGCCGGCCGGCGCCTCAGCCGCACCACAACCAGCAGCCACCTCCGCGGCCGAAACCTCCCGCGCAGCCGCAGCCGCCGCCGAGTCTGCGCGAGCAGCCCCAGCCACCGCGGCGAAGAAACCACCACCCTTCGTCCCGCCCAGCACGCTGCAGGCCGTCAAGCTGATTGTGGACAAGTCTGGCCCCTTGGGGCTGTGGACGGGCTTCCGGCTGCACTTTGTGCGCGACACGATGGGCACGGCACTCTACTTTGCAGAGTATGACGTGATGCGGCATTGGCTTGGACGAAGGGGAGGAGGGGGCATGAGCGGCGTGAGCGGGGAACAAGGGGAACTCCCCGAGTGGGCGAGGGGATGGCTGCCTGTCCAGCTCGTGCCGTTTCTCTGTGGAAGTCTGGCGGGAGTCACGAGCTGGGCGCTGATCTACCCCGTGGATGTGAGTGACAGAGCGACCGAGCGAAGCGAGGGAGCTCTCGCTTGGTCGACACGAGCCAGTAGAGCCAACAGAGCCAACAGAGCTCAGCTCGCTGAAGAGTTTCGTTGAAGCTGACATCCAGGCGATCAAGACGAAAGCGCAACAACGCGCGCTCTCGTCCCTCCCCGCGCGGACACCGCTGACCCAGTTCCTGCGCCTTGTGCGGGGTACAGACCCGGCACACCCGAAACCGCTGCTCACGGGCGTGGCGCGGCTGTATCGCGGCTTGGGCGTTAGCATGATCCGCAGCATGCTCACGCACGGCCTGCTGTGGACGCTCGTCGACTGGACAAGTGGGTGGATCGACACGCGGCCGTGTGAGCGCTGGCTCGCCGAGGAGAGTCTCGTGTAGCGAGCGCATCACTCACTCTTTCCTCCCGCCGATTTCCACCGGCGTCGTCTGGTCCGGAATTCCGGAAGCGCCAGACCCAGACCGAGCACGCAGCGCCGAGCCGTCTCCAAAGCTGCGAAGATGTGAGGTATCCTCCATCTCCGAGCTCACCGGTTGCCGACGTCTCGCACGCCCCGTCCACCACACCCAACTCCCCACTCTCTCACTCCCAGCATTATCCTCGTAGCCTATACACCAACTAGTCACATTCTATAAACCTAACCCACCGATCTCGCCCTCTCCCCTCTCCTCTGTCGGAGAAAAGGTGGAGGACGGATCACCGCGCACGCGCTCGCGCTTTCGCGCCCGCTCGACCCGTGCACACTGCAATCGTAACCCAAACCAATGCATGTTGCTTCTATCTAGCTTGTCTAGTGTGTACAACGTCAGCCACGCGGCGCAAGGGCCGGGGTGGGTGACTCCAAGATGTCCATTATTGTTCGCTCCGCCTCAACTGCCTGCCCTCCGCTATCTGGCCGCTGGGTCGGGTCGCCCTCGCCAGTATGCGCGCCGAAGCTTAGCAACTCAGCAGCTCAGCGTCCCTTCTGTAGGTGCCAACGAGCAGAGGACGGGTGGAGGCGGGCGGTGGGCCATGGCAGTGGCGACCTATAGCGGACCCAGCACTCCCCCGGCCCTCGACCCCCGGCCCTCGACCCCCGGCCCTCGACCCCCGGCCCTCGACCCCCGGCCCTCGGCCTTCGGTCGGGGTGTCTACTTGAACTCATCAGGATGCGCGGCAGAGCACTCGTCGGCCCACTCCTTGGTCGCCATCTGCGTGAGACGCGAGACACAGCGCGCGAACGCGAACAGCTCCTCGTCGCTCGAGAACAGCTCGTGGTTGATGTTGGCGTCCGTCGGCGCGCCCATCTCCTGCAGCTTCTGCGTCACGGCGTGCTGCGTTTCCGGGTCATCCGCGCTGAAGATCGTGTACAGCGGTCCGTCGCTCGATGCGAACAGCTTGACCTTCATCTCGTACGCTGCGTCGACAAAGGTGATGAAGCGCCGCGCCTGGTCGCGTTCAGACAGAGTGAGCTTGGGAATGTCCTCGACGAAGATGGTGTGGAAGTTCTTCGTGATCTCGAGATAGTCACTGGCGGACAGGGGGCGGTTGCACAGGTCGTCGAACGTGAAGCGCGCGACGTGGCCGGAGCTCTCCGGCACGGCGACCTCACGGCCCCACAGAGAGAGCTTGCGGCCGAGACGGATCTCGGGGTCAACGTCGGCGGATGCCAGCCCGTTGAACAGCTTGTCCATCTCCGAGGTCGTCTCCGGACCCAGAGGGTGGTAGTACACCTTGGTCAGGGTTCGGGGGATCTTGCGGTAATCGGTGCCACTGTCGAGGTCGACAACGTTGAAGCGCTCCTTGATCAGGTCGATGGCAGGGATGAAGAGCTCGCGCTGCAAACCGTTCTGGTACAGCTCGTCGGGGTGGCGGCTGATGTCAGCTACTGTCGCAACCTTTTGAAGCGGTACGATGGGTACTCACTTGGACGTGATGAAGGAGACGACGCCGAAATCCGTGAGACGCTCAAAGAGCACGCGGAGCATCATCGCCGTCACAATGTCCGTGACCTGGAACTCGTCGAAACAGAGTACGCGCCCGTCGGCCGCAATGCTGCGCGCGACCTCGGGCATCGCGTCCCGCTTCCCGTCTCCCTCCGCCGCATACTTCTCCGTCACGGCGTGCATGCGCTTCATCACCTCGATCATGAAGGCGTGGAAGTGCACACGCGTACTCCCGTACTTGCCCCCCTTCCGGAACTGCTGCGGCAGCGTCGAGTGGAACAGGTCCATCAACATCGTCTTGCCCGTGCCCACGGAGCCGTAGAGGTACAGACCTTTCGGGACCTGCTCGAGGGGGATGATCGGCTCGTGGTCCGGCTGCGTGCGCGTGAAGAACTTGCCGAACTGGGAGTGAGTTGGGGCAGAAGAAGTCTAACTTACGAAGCTCGGCTCCACCTTTGTATCTCCGTCTGGGATCGGTCCGGGGTCGTAGTGCCTCAGTTCCTCGTGGAAGTCCTGCAGCTTCTGGATGATCTCCTTCTGGTACGGGTCGGCGCGCAGCACCCCCGTTCGCACAAGGTACTCGTACCGCGTCATCGGGTCTGAGGTCAGCTTCGGAATACCGGACCCTCAGCTAGACAGAGCGGAGGCAGCGACGCTGCCCACCTCCGCGTCGTTACGGGTAACGCACCAGAGAACGACGCCGCGGCCTCGGCGTCCTGCATCTTCTTCTCAGCGGCAGCGTGCGATCCCATGCCACTCTTAGCATCGTCGGTCACCACGTCCTGCGCCTGCGCGTGCAGATCCAGCAGCGGCGCCGAGGTCTGCAGCGAACGTGTCTGCGTCGGGCGCTGCGTCTGAGCTGCAACAGCTCGCGGTGTCGGGCGCACGGCGGGGGTAGCCGCACGGGCAGATCGCAAGGCTCGCGCTGCGTTGACGCTGGCAGTCAGGCGGCGTGTGTACATTGTGGAGTCGCTGGTCGCTGGTCGATGTGACGGCGAGAAACGTCGAAGATTGTGAGAGCGAGGAAACAAACGTCACTCGGTCGTCGGGAGAGGGTATTACCGAGGCTCTAGCGACAGCCAACCACGCCCGGGTTATCTGCCACATGGCTCTAAACCCGTCATCCAGCATTTGCGTGGGAGTCACGTGGTGTCAATATGCCCCCGCCCGTTGGCGCTGATTATTGTTGTCAACAAACCCAGCGCGATTGACTTCTTTCCCAGACACAAACAACCACCCCCCATCCACCCCCCCCCCCGCGAGAACTACTCACCATGTCGCGCCGACAACCTATAGGGCGCACAGCCAGCCGACCAGCATCCTTAGCCTCTGGATCCCGCATCGCACGAACACAGTCATCCATGATGCCGCCTGGAACGCCTAGGAGAGCGACCACGACGGGGCTGAGTGCCGGACCGAACGCTGTCAAGCTCAGCTCCGAGGTCAGCGAGACAAACATCCACGTCGTCGTCAGATGTAGAGGGCGGTCACAGAAGGAGATTGATGAGGCGACACCTGTCATCACCACCACGGGCGGACCACTCAGCAAGAACATCACCGTCGAGACGACACCCGTCGCAGCCGCGGCTGCCGCTTCCACCTTCACCACAGCTAGCAGCTACAACAACGGCAGCGGAAACACCAAGACGTATCCCTTTGACAAGGTCTTTGGACCTGAAGCCGACCAGACAATGATCTTCAAAGAGGTCGCGGAGAACATGCTTGATGAGGTGCTCGCCGGCTACAACTGCACCATGTTCGCCTATGGTCAGACGGGTACGGGCAAGACGTAAGTCGAGAGAGTACCTGTGGAGCTAACAGCTAGGTATACGATGGCAGGTGACGTTGATCCGACACCCCTGATGGAGCCGTCCACTGAGGCAGGCATCATCCCGCGAGTGCTGCACCGGCTGTTCGCACTCCTCGATGCACCGGAGAACCCGGAGTACGCGGTCCGCGCATCCTACGTCGAGCTGTACAACGAGGAGCTCCGCGACCTCCTCGCGCCCGAGTACAAGGATTATACGGGCGGGTCCCAGATCAGGATCTTTGACGATCCTGCCAACAAGAAGGGTGTCATGATCCAAGGTCTCGAGGAAGCCGCCGTGCTCGATGTCAAGGGCGGCCTGGCGCTGCTGAACAAGGGCACCCAGCGAAGACAGACGGCCGAAACCAAAATGAACTCGGTGTCGTCGCGATCCCACTCCATCTTCACCCTCACCGTTCAGGTCAAGGAAACTTCGGCTGACAAGGGCGAGGATCTCATCCGTATCGGCAAGTTCAACCTCGTTGACTTGGCTGGATCCGAGGCCATTGGCCGCTCCGGGGCTGAGAACAAGCGCGCTCGCGAAGCCGGCATGATCAACCAGTCTCTTCTGACGCTCGGCCGTGTCATCTCCGCCCTCGTTGACAAGAGCCACCACGTGCCGTACCGAGAGTCAAAGCTCACGCGACTGCTGCAGGACTCGCTCGGCGGAAAAACAAAGACGTGCATCATCGCAACCGTCTCGCCTACGCGGTCCAACATGGAGGAGACACTCTCGACGCTCGACTACGCCCTGCGCGCCAAATCGATCAAGAACCGCCCTGAGGTTAACTCGCAAATGACGAAAGCCGGTCTGCTGAAGGAGTACCTGACCGAGATTGAGCGCCTCAAGGCCGATCTGTTCGCAACGCGCGAGAAGAACGGCATCTGGATGGATCCTGACAACTACAAGGAGCTGCAGCAAAGCCAACAGCGCCAGAAGAGCGACTATGACGAGGCGCGCCAGCGCGTCACTGCCATTGAAGTCGAGCTCAAGACTCGAAAGGCCGAGTTTGAGAGGCTCACCGACCGCTTCGTCAAGACCGATTCGGAGCTCAAGGTTGCGCGCGATGCCGAGCAGCAGCTGAATGGTTTGCTCGAGAAGGCCAAGGTCGATGTCGACAAGGCCATAAACGACCTCGCCCAAGAGCGCGTTGTCAGCGAAGCGTACCAGCGCGGAGAGGAGAGGCTGAACGCTGTTGCTGGCGAGCTCCGCTCCGTCGCAGTGGATAGCGTTCACGACGTTGACGGCCTCCACGACAAGGTAGAGCGCATGGCGTCCGTCCTCGACGGTAACTCGGAGACGTCGTCTCGCTTCGGCACGGACATGCGTTCCCTGTTCCACGTACTGCAGAGCGACTTGTCCCAACTGCACTCGGTTCAGACCGAGTTTGGCAACACCATTCGGAGTGACATGAAGAACTACGCCCAACGAGGGCAGCAGGTGAGTTGAGACGTCCACGTAATTGACTGACATCAGGAATCTGAGCGACACCTCGCGGACCTCGACTCTTCCTTCAAGTCTTTCGAGCAGCTTGTATCAACGCTCCAGGGCAGCACCGAGGAAGGTGCCGCACAGGCTACCGACCGCGCCGCCGCCATCCTCGCCGTTAAAGCCGAGGTGCTGTCCGCCGTCCGCGCGCAGGCTGAGGCTGAGACTGAGCGCTTCACGAAGATGGGCGAGGAGCTCTTGATGCAGCAGCAGAAGCACCTCTCCTCTGTCAGCAACGTAATCAACTCCACCGCCGACGTCGTCGAGGCGGTCCTCTCCGCTGCGCGCACGCTGAAAACAGCGCAGAATGAGACGCTTCAAGCCGCAAAGCAGCAGTCCAACTCTGCCGCCGAGGCCGAGATTGCGCGTTTGCGCCAGCAGAACCAGCAACTCACGCAGCTCCTCATCGACAAGGACGCGGAGACGGCCAAGCTACGCGAGAACTTGATTGCAGGCGTGACCGACCTCATCACGGGCGCCACAGATGCGCAGAACACGAGCCTGCGCTCCGCAATCGGCAAGATCCAGGCTGGCAACGACGCGGGTCTCCGCGAGGTGCAGGCGTTCAAGGTGTCGCAGTCCGCAGCCATTGACAAGGGCGCGGCGTCAATGGAGACGTTCTCTCGCCAAATTGCCACGCAGAAGGACGCTTTCCAGGGCCAGCGCGACAACGGCCAGCGCGCCATCGCCGACGCCGAGCGCGGTCTTCAGGCCAGTCTCGAAGAGTATGCGTCCGAGGCGAGTGAGCAGGCGCGCATTCACGTCGAGAGCATTGAGGACTACTGCGGCCTCATCACGGAGCAGGCTGAAGGAAGTGAGTGACATGGTCGAGGCACGAAAACTGACAGGACAGTCGAGACGAGTGTGACCGAGAAGGCACAGGAGCAGGCCGACACCATTGCCTCCCTTCAGTCGAACGGCCAGGCAAGCTTCCAGCTGTCGAGCAGCCGAGTTCGCGCGGGCGCGGACGACATTGCCACGCTCACTTCGACTCTACTCGATTCAGTAAGTTCACCGCACTCTCTACCTTCCACACTAACGTGCAGCACGCCACTTCGTCCGAAGCCTCAGCCCAAGCTCACAGCTCGGCGAAGCGCAAGATCGACGAGATCACCGACGCCACCGACGCATTCCTGTCCAATCTGCGCCAGGACGAGCCGACTGGCTCGACGCCGCGCAAGAAGCAGTGGGCGATTCCGAGCTGGGAGCGGACCGGTCCGCGCGAGATGCTCCTGCGCGGCTTCCGCAGCGCGCCACCGGTCATAGCGTCGCCGTTGAAGCGTTCCTTCTCCGGCGACGATGACGCGGACGTCTCGCACACCAGCGCCGTTAGTGTTGGCTCTGCTGTCTCCGCTGCCTCTGGAACATCCGCTATCTCTGCTGCATCAGGACGCTCGGCTCAGTCCTCAGGCAGCCGCCCCCGGTCTCCCGCTGACCCGCCCGCGCCGCCTCGTGAGCTGAAGGAGTCGAAGGTATCGAGGCCGGAGCTGCGGCCGGCAGCCTCCCTGCCCCCGTTATCGCGCACGGCTAGCAGCTCGAGCACGGCCGTCGAGGACAGGGGACCCCTCGTCAATTCGATGAACGGCAAGCGCCCCAAGAACAAGCGGATAGACAGCACCAGCAGCGATATCCCGAGAGTCAACGTGCTCGGAGAGGGTGGCAACATTCCCCGCAAGCAGCGGCTGCGCTAGAAGAGCAGGCGACTGAGCTAGACCTGTGTTCGTGAAACCGTGTATCAGAGGAGTGTGAGAGTGTACGCTAGTGAGGGCGTGTACGAGAGGAGCAAAAGAGGAGAACAGACATTCAGTCATTCATTAAATGCTTTAGACAATTCGTGCTGAAGGAGAGAGGAGATGATTAGGACTCTTTGTATCAGTGTACAACTGTAACCTGTCTGCTTGCGGCCTGTGCCGGTAGAAGACTTGCATGCAACATTCTTGGACATTGTTACTGCTCCAGGCGATCGACGAAAGCAAGGAACAACCGTTGGACCCCTGGGGTAGAACGTAGAGAATGTACGTATGGAGAGGTCGTATTGGCGATCACGACGCCCATTCAGAATGTCCCGGGAGCTACAAGCGCGACCATGGCACCCTCAAGCCTCCAAACGGCCCGAGAACGTGCCGGACGCCACTGACTCGCGGAAGGACGAACCGGAGTAGCAGAGGTGTCACCGAAGAGTGACAGCCTGACGCGGACGCCCGCCAGCACACGCGCTCGCAGAGAGTTCAAGACATAGGTGCCGGGGCCGGGGCGCGCTTCGGGAGTTACCACGCTGACTCAAGAGTCGAAAAGGCAGCCAGTCAGTGCGCGCGACCCACGAGCATACGAACCTAGAATGCAAACCTCCCGGGTGTCCACTTCAGAGTCTGGACCACACCTACACCTCCTCTCTGCAATACCTACCACCCCAGGGCTAGCAGCTGATAGAAGTACGCGCTTCATGCGCAAATCCCCCGAGGCTGTCACTGCAATCACTGCACGCTGTGCGCTGATCCAGACGGGTGGCGCGTCTTCCGGAAGAGGCATGAGGCAGGCCTGAAGGGTCCGGAACCCGGAACGGATACGGCTTGCGCGGGAAGCATGGACCCGGCTTAAGCTTTCGCTGGGATTGTGCTGTTTCTCCTCTCTAGCCTCTCTTCTCGCGAATCTGCATGGGATCATGGGCAGCTCTTATGTTGCCGCCCCATTGATCCGGATCGACACATGCACGCACGCTTGGAGCTGTTGAGGTCAGAGGCACCCGGTCGAGAAGTCGACCCCCTTGTTCCCCTCGCGCTCCACTGTTGACTTTTGTGGTACGAGCTGACTCACGTACGTCGTCTTCAGCGTGTACCAGCTGCACATGGGGCCCTCGTTCCTCGAGTCTTCTCCTGTCTTCTCCTTCCGTGTCGCACTGTACTCGCGTCCATCCTTGTGTCTGAATTGCGCGTCTTCCGGGCCAGAATGATCCTGGAAAGCACCCGCATCGGCGCCCGGAATGACGAATGTCGAGTTGAGGACCGCAGAGCGCAGATCGCGCCTCGGTACGCCTGGATCCAGGACTTGCCTAGCCGTAGCGCGCCTTGCACTCCCGGGAGAATACACAGAACAGTTCCAGAGAGCGACGTACGCGTCTCCACCAGAATGCAAGAGCACCGAGACGACCTCGGTACCTTTATGACCAGGCTCTTTCTCCCTTAGCCCAATTGTGTCTCACGACTAGTCAAATGTAACGCTCCGGGTCTTTGCTCTTTGAGAAGTCACTCGCGCATGCTCAAGATTTGCGCGCATACCTGAATCTGGTCCATGCATTGGGTCATTTTGGACGGGCTCGGACGGGCGAGCATCACCTCACCCTTTCTCATCCTTTTGCCTTCCCTCAGCTTCCCTTGAGAGTGAGAACTTCTGGACCGTCAACACAATTGCGTCGACCATGCACATGCACGCGCGTGCTTGTGTGGCGCTCGTACCTCTCTCTGTCTCAGAGCTCCGCGGCGTCGTGGTCTCGTCCTCGATCCTCGACGTATTCTCTGTCTTGACTGAACACCCGTCGCACCGTACAGTGCCTCCGTGATCGTTTGTACCTGCATACCGAGCACATCATAGTAGACGGACCCAAATGCATATCTGCGAGTAGGCTTGGTATGCGAAGACTTTCCACTGAGTCTATTCCTGTCTGGTTCTGTGTGCCTGGGTTTGAGCTTCGCGATTACGTTCCCGGCACCGGGCACGACGAGTGAGCCTTGTTTGTTTGCGCACGTTACATCTGCACTGTAGGGGAGGATGATGAGCGAGTGAGGATGTTGCTGACCGCCTTCGCCGAGCGAGCAGCGCTCCGACGATCGCTAGCTAGGGTTGTTCTGCGCTCTGTGATGCCATTGAGAACCTCGGTATGCGACGTGAGGACCTTCTCGTCGATCGAACTCTATCACCACGAGCAGAGCCAAGTTGTGCCACACGCTGGCAGCTGAAAACTTTGGTTTATCTGGGATATTCCCACTACAATAAGAGCGAGGACTGGAGGTGGTTGTATGATATCGCTGGTATGCTTGTTCAGGTTTGAGCCTTGGAGCTTGGTATCGAGGGTGCTTGCTGCCCCATTCATTACAGAGTAAGAAACACGTAAGAGGCTCCAGCCTCTGAGGACTCTGAATGCCGGTCTAAGATCGTCGGGGGTCTGTGCATGGGTGTTGAGCTGCGCCTGACCGTCCTCCGCCCACTACAGCCCACTGCACCCTCGTATGAAGCGGCGCCCACAGCCACCCCGCAGCCGGCGGACCGCACAGAATCCAGCTGTGTTCTGCAGCGCGCTTCGATCCAAGAAAAGAATGCAAGGAGCGATGTTTACTGTCAGAACCTGTGCCCCCAGTGCACGGCCTGGCACAGGGTGAGGTAAGCCACCCCCAGGCCGCTGAGGGTCGCTGATGCGCTGAAAGTCACCTTTGGCGCCTTTCCCCCCCTTGGCGGTCTGGGACATGCACCCCAGCATGCCGTGTGGCGTCCTGTTTGGCCGGCGATGCAATGGACAGGACGAATTCAGTGGTGCCTGTAACAAAGTCTGAGCAAAGGTCCAGCCTGCTCTCAGATGCTCGCCTGGTGCAGCTACTAGCCCAGCGGAGCGCTCAGGACGTGCAAGACTCGGAACTGAAGCTTATTCTCTAGCACACCCTCGCCCTAGAATAGCGCGCGGTGCACTGTAGCCGAGACGCGTCCGTGGTCGAGGCTGTCGTAAGTCTGAGCCTACCCCTACGTTATCCGCATGTTAAACATTGGACCCTTTCAGCTCTCGTAATTCATCGCCTGGCACGCTGGCCTCGTCCTGCTTAAACACCCCAGAAGAGCCCTCAACCAGGTACCCTTGCGGGACCTCGACCTGCAGGGTCGGCCACCAGATGCCCTTCACCCTCTATCTCAGTGTCTTTCGTCGCTCGCTTTTGCATGGATGCCCGCTGTGGGACCTTCTCGCGGACAGCACGCGTGCTGTAACACACCCCAGGCCCGCGACCCCTTGGTGAGAGAGAAACAGACTCTGGACCTGGCACCTCACTTCCTCTCCTCCTCTGTTGGTCGAACCCAGTGCGCTGTGCGCTTTGCAGTTGATTCCAACTTCGTTCTCCTCTCCATCATTATCCTCCTCATCACGTCGGCGACGTGATAATCTCGTCTCTTCTTGCTCGTCGTCACTCGTTTACCACCTTTACTTTCTCTGTTTCTTCGACGTCCGGATTCGACATCCCCACCGTCTGTGGGTCACTCGAAGGAAGGACAGCGAGTCTGGTCGAACTCCTTTTCTTCTTTCGACCCCGCATAATCCGACAAACCAAACGTACCGACACGACCTCGTCGACCTTCACCGACACCTTTCGCGCCCTTTCGACCTATACTGACTGACCCCTTCCCCTTCGACCCCTCGACAACCTCTCCCGACCCGACACTCTACCACCAAAAACATGGCTTTCGCTCTCGACCACTTCCCTCACCTCCGATTAGCCCGCGCCGGCTTTCCCCATATCCTCCATGAAGAGCCGCGAGGCATCATTGGCAACATCCTCGGTGTTGGCAAGGACAGGGCGCAGGATTCAAGCATTACCCCCGAGTCCGCCGTCAACGGAGGAGACGGCTACTGCCACTGTAACAATGATGCGGAGTGCGAGTCAATGTCGTCTGTGCTGAACTCGCCCCCAATCCGGTGTTCTGCGACTGCCGGAGGGGACGCGTCTCCGCCAGCGGCCTCTTCGACTGGCGGCGCTTGGGCTGGTGGCAGTGCTGATGGCAACGGCGCGGCCGGTAGTGCCGGCGCAGGCGACACGCAGGCCTATGCGTCTGCGGGTCCGGACGGCGCCGTCGCCAAGGCGGGTGCGGGTCCTGTGGCGGCCGAAGCCTCCGCCGGCTCGCCTTCACCGACATCCTCGGCTGGTCCAAACTGCCCGACACATAGCAAGCGCTGTTGCACGTTCCCTGTTCTCGGACATGGACTCTACGAAGTCTTCCGCGGTAACCCGATCACGGACGGCCTCGAGGGCATCCAGGAGAGCTTCCACGAGTTCATCGGAAACTGTGTTTACTGCCCGAAGGAGTGTGGCGGCGCCGGAGGTGGCCCCGCTCCTCAGGCAACGATTTCCAACTCACCTAGTCCGAGCCCCACCAGCACGGAGGAGACCTCGTCTTATACCCCTCCTCCTAGTACGGAGGAGACTTCTACGTATACCCCGACGTCGTCGAGTACCGTCGAGCCGTCGCCGGAACCGTCACCGGAGCCGAGCTCAAGCTCGCCTTCGCCGTCGCCTGAGCCGACTTCGACTTCGACTGAGCCGCCGCCTCCGCCTCCGGAGCCCTCGACTACCTCGACTTCGTCCACTCCTCCCCCTCCCCCTCCTGAGCCGAGCACGACTTCGACGTCGCCCTCGCCTCCTCCTCCCCCT